AAACGTACGGTCGCTCACAGTGTACGTACTGTCTCTTATACACATCTAGATGTGTGTAAGAGACAGCACATATCCCCTTTCTTAATAATAATAATAATAATAATAATAGTTCATTCTTAAATATACAATAGCCCCGATTCCCGTCCAAATACCCTAATCTCAACATCAAGATACATTATTTATCCCATCATACAGTAATATTAATAGCCAAAGACTCCAAAAAGGTCTCTCCCTCCCTCACATATCCCCTTTCTTAATAATAATAATAATAATAATAATAGTTCATTCTTAAATATACAATAGCCCCGATTCCCGTCCAAATACCCTAATCTCAACATCAAGATACATTATTTATCCCATCATACAGTAATATTAATAGCCAAAGACTTCAAAAAGGTCTCTCCCTCCCTCACCTATCCCCTTTCTTAATAATAATAATAATAATAATAATAGTTCATTCTTAAATATACAATAGCCCTGATTCCCTTCCAAGTACCCTAATCTCAACATCAAGATACATTATTTATCCCATCATACAGTAATATTAATAGCCAAAGACTCCAAATGTCTCTCCCTCCCTCACCTATCCCCTTTCTTAATAATAATAATAATAATAATAATAATAATAGTTCATTCTTAAGTATACAATATCAAAGTCATGAGTACACACACTAATTACCATAACCCATTTCTATGTTACATTTCTATGTTGCAGCAGATCATTTTCAACAAACACAGGCAAACCCCCAGCAATCGTCCCCTCCCCCCCCCCATTTGTATTCCATCATAGTCTATATCAAAGCTGCCTTATGTTGTACTATCATACACATAATGGAATAATGTTTTACAACAAACATAGGAAAGCTTGTGGAATATTGTTTACATCTTATATTCTGAAAATGTTTATAGTTTTAACATCACAATTAACTTATTCCACCTAGAATTTCCAATTGTACAATAAAATGAATTTTAATCCCCTCTTTTTCTATTTGTACCCCTCCACAATGTACCTCAAACCTCTCTTATCATGCACATACCAGAAATAAGTAGAGACAGATTTACAACAAATCTTTCCCCTTCAACTACTCTTCATAGACTACATCAAACCTCTCTTATCTTGTCATATCCTACACATAGCTAAAGAAGAGATAATCACAGTCTCTTGTCAGCTACCATGACATTATTCCAATTCATCAGTGTCCGAATCTGTATCTTACTTCGGTGTGAGTCCAGGTGAATTACTGTCATCATGACATTATATAGTACCATCAACAACCCAGCAGGTGTGCTGGCTTGCACGTGATATATCTAGGTTTTATCATCACCTATAGCAACTTAGCTACAGGAAGATTGTTGTGCTTCCTTGTTCCTGTCAGTAAATAGCAAATGTTAACACTCTTAATACTGTATTAAACATAGGCAATGCTATAGGGATGTTTGCGTTCATCTTTAGGAAATGGTATTCATTTATTGTACACCATTCCAAGTATATTTGTCATCACAATTATCATAATCACTATCACCATCATTTTCACCATCATCATCATTGTCATCTATCATCCATCATTTACTGTACATATTTCCAAATGGATTCTTCTCCTCTATAATAATTATCATCATCATCATCATCATTGTCATCATCATCATCATCAACATCATTATTCATCATCATCATCTTCATCATAAACATTATCATCCATCACTTAGGCTACGTTCAGACTCGGAGATAAGCTAGGCTTGAGTTAAGCCCGGCTCGACGTTAAGCCCGGCTTAACTTTGCCGGGCGTTCAGACTAGCGGATTTAGCCAGGCGAGAATTTGCATAATAATGAACTGTAACCAGGAAACGTGTTTCAAAACATTGCTCTCGCGAAACGTACGGTCGCTCACAGTGTACGTAATTGAATGCTGATTGGTCATTTTGTCACCCGAAGTCAACGCAAGACCCCCCACAACGATTAAAGAACGGCTTAGAAAAGTTAGACACGGTGGCGCGCCAGGCCTAGTTACTATAGGAACACAGCCCGGCTTGAGATAAGCCACCTAGTTCAGACTGGCAGGTGGATAAACCCGGTAAGTTGAGCCGGGTTTATCCAACTAGTCTGAACTAGGCCTTAGTGTACACATACACAAATGGATTTACTATACCATACACCATTGATTACTTGAATATGTATTACCATCATCGTGTATATCTTATTATATATTTCAGAGTAGATAGATAAATTTTCGCAGTTCAAAATGTTTAATATTAAACGATAATCCTTTGTTGATATTCCACATACTTTAAACGTCTTCAGAAAATCTGTTAAGGTATTATTTAAATGAAACCACATTAACTACATTATCATTTATCCTCTCAGATTATGAAAGAGATCGAAAAAAACAAGATAAAGATCTACGAATTCCCAGAAATACCAGACGATGAGGATGACTCAAAGGAAAACAAGGTGTTAAAGGTAAGCACACCTTGTTACACCTGCCCTCATTACTAATATTTGCGATAGTACATCATAAGTAGAGACACTGTTACGTAATGGACCTTTCCGGTGTGTCAATCAAACTTAACTGACCAATCTGAAACGTCCCACAAACACAAACAAGTTGGACATTAGCAACAATATCCAAAGGGCGTGGTTTATCGGAAAGGTCCATTGTTACTCTCATCAGCAAAGAATGAAATTTTTGCAAGAAATATTATGTAAAATATAAGAAACTGCTCGGCCATTAGAACAGTTGTCAAACCTTACTCCAGCATAGAGGCGCATGGCACATAGTATAATAATACGGTTATCTTATTACATTGATTGAAATATATATTTGATCAGTTTCACCTAATAGTAAATATCCAAGTGTAAAGGAAGAAATTTGGACTGAGAAGAAGGCTAATTATTTAAAAATTATACAGAAACATTAAAAATATATTTATCTGTAACAGCCAGGCTTTCTCTTCCTGTAGTTTGTATCAATATTACCCTGATTATTTGAATATATGAATATTTATATCAATATAACAAATATATCGAACATATATATCTAATACTTTATTATAATGGTTAATACTGTTTTAATATTTTTTTTAATTTGAAATTTAAAAAAAATGTGTTTAAAAAGTTGGCTCATCACTATTAACTAAAACTGACCAAACAAAACTTTGCAATTAAAAAAATAGAAAAACCAAATAAATTTTAAATTTTAAATACAATAATACATTGAAGATGGAAGAGAATTTAAATTTGTTGATATTTTACAAAATCTATATTTTATTGAATTATTTATCCTTCTGTTTTCTACAAAATTTCTTAAGATTAAAACTAGATTTTATAATTTTAAGTTACAATTTAAAGTAAAGCCGAATTCACATCGGATCCGAACTGAAATTCCATGCGCTAAACACCAGTGTCCCTGTTCTTACAAACTGGTCCAATTTTTTGATCGGTTTGGTAGACCTTCTGATCCGAAAAATTTGGATTTGATGTGAATGCGGCTTAAAGGTGAGTTTGTCAAGTGTCATGGCGTTTGCAAAACGCATGTTTAATGTTGCTCTTTCTTTTCCTCCCTCTGTTGCATTTACTATTTCTTTGTACCAGCGGAGAAATATGTTGCAGAAAGAACAAGAAAAGACAGTCAATATAAAGGTATACACACCTACGAGTCCCTTGCCATAGAATCACCAGCGCTCTAATATAAACTCACATCTAATCAGTTGGATATTACTACTTGCATGTTTACCATATTTATCATTTGTCGTGTTTCCCCTTTATTATTTTGTCATGTTTGTTTCACTTCATTTGTCGACCTTATCGTTACCACTGTCATTAGGAGCTTTCGATTTGAGATGGCGTAATGATGTCTCGTGCGTATGCGAACACTGAGCTCTTGTATTCAGAATTATAGAGAACGGCGACTCTTTATACTCACACTAGGATCACATTCATCTTGCTCAATCGAAAGTTCCATCGCCCTTTTTTCCCAAAGTGCATCTTTTCTTGCTGTTGTCTACCATAATTGTTTCTTTTGTATTGTATTTTGCTATTATACTTGAATTTGCATCTCATACATATGCATTATCTTACCTTACTGAGTACATTCATGCATATTCATTTTTTCTGTCATTATTGGCTCATGCATAATTCATTGCATATGTTGTTGATAATTTATTTATGGTTAAGTAGCTTACCATGAGGTTATTCTTTGCTTGAAATCTGCCTTCCTTCTACTCTCAACAAAATGTCAGACTGAATTTATTTGCATTTTGTATTATGCAGACTGATCTTTATCATAATTAAAATTATTTCAATGTTTGAAATATTCTGCTTCCTGCATTTTCCAACTTTTTGAATAAAGGCTAATTGCTAAATAAATACTCGTTAATTGGTGATAGTGCTTAAAATACATAATCTGAATATATTAAAATTGGGAAATTTTCACTTTAAAGCTATGCTTTATTATTATTTAATTACTTATTACTATTTTACTTGATTTCATGTATTACAATGCAGGGTTAAATTTTTAATTTGTTTTATGTGGTGTATGGCTTGGTTTGGATAGCATTTAATTCTTCCTACTGCTGTTATATTACATTAGTGCATAATATGGAAACCTCTATTCACTTATGTTACTCTCTTTATTGGATTCAGTGTAATAATCATATTATATGTCTCGGAGGAGTAGTCATTGTCATGCTGCATATATCAACACCTACAGTAGTGGTGTCAAGCTTTTGGGCTGACGTGCAGTGGAGCACTATTCCCCCGGCTTCGGGGACCATGACCAGAAAAAAATATAAAAATTAAGTTAACAAATTTTTTTTTAAAGCAGATAATTGTTTAATTAGGCTCAATGATATCAACAGCACTAGTGCATACCTTTTTAACTGGTGGAGATAATGCATTGTATTACAAAAAGGCTACAGTATAGCATATATTTTAGATGATACAATTGATAATCTTTGTTCATGGTAAAAATATTCTCAACATAATGCTATATAAGAAAAATATCTGTAATTAAAAGTAATCTTCTATAACCAAATATCAGTCTTATATATAATAATCTAATATGTTTTAAACACTGTCTACAATTAATAATAATAGGCTCTGTTGGAGTTAAACATAATGTGTACCTATTGCTGTATATGTAGAATGAGTCATCCGGCTTGACATTTAGGGTTAATCATTTATGGGCGACTTGAGCAGCCCTCTGGGAAAGATCCTCTCCCTGCGCCAGGAAGCGTTTTCACAAGACCATGAACAATAGGTTGAATGACCTCATTGTTGCCTAAGGAAACAAATCCCTGTAGACTCGTGTAATGTTAAAAATACATTGTAATAATCATAAATGTAAATAATAGATTTGTTTTATGTTGTATCAGACGCCCCCCCCCCCCAATTCGAAAACTTCAAAGGTCTGTCTCTTATACACATCTCTTATGCTTATGCTGTCACGGTTAACATGTATTCGGGAATCTAAGAAGCAATATTTTTCAGTGGGCGTGGCCACCGAAAATAAATTCCGTGCCCCCTCATATTTTGGTCGCCCCCTCATATTTTGGTCGCTCCCCCACCCATTTTAATACTGCTAGATACGCCACTGGTGTCAACCATATCATCTTTATAAAGTTACATCCAGTGACATACCGTATTATGGGAGGGACTAGAGGGAGCACTCCATTCCAAAACAAGCTCACACTTTTCAGACGCACCATGTTCACTCCGCTGAAAATTTGCAGAGCATAGAAGTTATGCCTGAGTAATTAAATACATCATATCACTATTTTGTCAGCTGGCTCCCTCTCCCCTCACTTCATTTTCAAGCCCATCCACTATAACCATCTTGTCCCACACCCATCAGCCCCATGTCAGTGATTACATCCAATATCAACACTTTATTTGTTAGCATATCATATATAAAAGCAACATAACAAACATCATTTTATCTTAATCTGGTATTATAAAACATACATTAGTAATAATGTGTAATTGTGTGTAGGAATTAATCTGTAGAGGGTTGAGTACTATATGTGTTTTTGATTCTGTTTGTGCTATGTTTTTTTGCAAGGTGTATATTAAATGTGTTTGTGTTGTTGTTTGGTCATGCTGATGATTTTAAAAGAAATGTTTCATTTAAATGTTTTACTGAAACACCTCTTTTTATTATATCACTTATCACTTCCTCTGCCTTATCTAGTGAGTATGTATTCTTTTACTGCTGTAGTAAATTTCAGCAAAGCTCTTTGTGCGAATGGAGTACAGTATTTCAAAATGTTCCAGCTAGCAGTCAGCACATTGTCATTCAAGCCTTATAGGTACCGACTTGGGACTCTTGGGTGGAGGCAACATGGATAAAGAACTTTAAAAAAAGCTTTGAGACAGTGCCTCTTGCTTCCACAAGTGTTGTTCATATGTGACAGTCTTGTGAGTTATCCAAAAATATGTTTTTAAGAGAAAAAGCGTTTCTGATATGTGATGGATTTTTTTTTCTAATCATAATTATGCCGTCTTTCCGATTGCAGGACAGAGTACCATTTGCAGTCGTGGGAAGCAACTCAGTTTTGGAAGTAAATGGAAAAAGGGTGCGTGGGAGGCAATATCCATGGGGCGTGGCAGAGGGTAAGACATGTGATTCAATAATTAGCATTGATGGGCTGAGGGAGACATATTGATGATAGTAATGGAAGTGAAATTTGGAAAGGAAGGTGTAGGAGGAAGTACCCATGAGGTGTAACAGAGGGGGAGGACAAATGATTCAATAGCTGTGATTAGATGAGTGATCTTTATTATTGATTGGCTTTTGATAGTAATGCATTGATGTTGTCATTGTTTTCATGTCATAATTATAAAATCAAATATCAAATGAAATTAAACTTTATTGCAATCCAAGTTCGCGAAACAAGAAATTAAAAAAGTCTTGCCTTACCATTGATAAATTGACAAAATGCATATAGGAGACAAGGTGTTTGTTTGATTTCTTTTGCAAATAACTTTTCTTTCCTTTCAGTTGAAAACCTAGAACACTGCGATTTCATCACCCTCCGCAATATGCTTATCCGAACGCATATGCAGGATTTGAAAGACGTAACAAACAACGTCCATTATGAGAATTACAGGTGCCGCAAACTCACTGCCATTACCACAGGTGAAGGCCGAAAACCCTCATCAAAGTGAGTTCTTAATTACAATTATTAATTATTAATAAGAATTTTGAAATTAATGATGGATATAGAGTTCAAAGTCTAGTTGTATTAATGATGTATTATTAATTGAATATATTATTTTTTTTAGTTATTAATATTCAAATTTACAGTTTATTTTCTAAATTAAGGCTATATTTTGTATGATTTAAATTGAAATGTTTAAGTCACCTGTAAAATTGCAATATTGTTGTGGTCCTACTGTGGGTACTTGTCTTGTAATACCAGAATCTGGGTTCAGTCCCTTCTTTTCGTAGCTCATGGCATTAAACATTAAACTCTACATCTGTCACTTGTCATCCAACATATGGAAGGGTTTGTGAGGGGTGTTTCAGAAAATCAGTAAATGTAGTTTTTTTGATATGTTTAAATTGTTTAAATTGTAATTTTTGTAAAAGTAATGGTGATATATTAATATAATAATAATTTATAGGATTTTATATTGTATAGTTTCTATTTTTGTAATTAATCATCTCAATAATTTTTTTTTTGCTATGATGATTGAATAGAAATATATTAGAATATGTAGGAATAATTATAAATTAATATTAACATTTTTTTTTGCTGCTGCCAGTGGCTTACCCAGGGGTCTTGAAATTGTGGACTGATGGGGAAAAGGTAGGGGTGGGAGGCTTAATATGATGGGGTAAGGAGGTGCCTGCTTGAGGTAATTTGAATGCGATTTTTGGGACGACTAGTGGGGTCTATCCGCTAGGCTTAATTCCAATGGGGTTCTCATGCATTATAAATTTACATTACAATATGAAGCAATGTATATATATATTTTTTTTAATTACCTGCATGAAAAGAGAGCTCCCTAGTTAGCACAAAAGGTTGCACATTTTATATTGATTTTTCCTTATGTTTTTCCAGGGTTGCAGGAAAGAATCCACTAGCTCAGTTCCAAGATGAAAAGAAGGAGCATGATCTGAAAATGAAAAAAATGGAAGCAGAAATGGAACAAGTATTTGAGATGAAAGTAATGGAGAAAAAGAAAAAACTCAAAGACTCCGAGGCAGATGTAAGTGGGTCGCGTGTAATTTGATCATTTTGTTATTGTTGCAAATGTTGCGGTAGACTTCAATGTGCAGGAACTACTAGATTGCTCTATTGGTTTAACATTAACATGGTCTTTTTTTTTTTTTTCGATACTTTGTGATGTAAATAGGAAACATTTCTGCCGTGCATTGACCTTTGTAATCATTGTTTTGAACTAATGTTTTTTCTAGTTCAGTTCAGAGTTACTGTCACTGTGATTTGATACCTAAATTACAACCGAAAAATTACCCAATGACTTTTTTATGGGATTCATAGGGCCAGTGGTACATCAATGTGTTGGTTACAAAAATTACCCAATCACCACATGAAGGACCCCATTAAACTCAAACTTTGACAAAAAAACTATTATATGCCCATATATAGTCATGATGTGCCTATATATGGCCATGATGTGATGTCATCCTGACCATATTTAGGCATGTCATATGTTTTTGTCAAAATATAATTGGAGAGTGTGGACGGGGCTTAAACTATAAGTCTTTGCATTGAGTTCACACAAGAAAATATCCCATCCAATCTAAGCAATTTGAACCATCATAAAAAATTATTACAGAACTTGACTAATTTGAATTGATTGTTTCAGTTGAGACGACGAGATGAACAAATGAGGAAGAGTTTGGAACAACAGCAGCGAGAATTAGAAGAAAAAAGGAAACAGTTCGAGAAAGACAAGGCTATATTTGATGAAACTGTTCGTGTTTCTGGATCAAAACTTCTTAATAATAAGTAAGTCATATTTTTTGTAATTAATTGAATATTCTTCTTCTCATAAATATTATCATTCATATTATTATTTTTTTAATGTCATCACTATCACCATTACCACCTTCATCTCTATTAACACCACGACCATATCACCATTGTGAAATTATTTTTGTCATCATCATCATCATCATCATCTTTGTCATTATCTTCATCATCATCATCAGTGAGTGTTCATGTTTATAATGTACAGTTATATCTAATTTTTTTTATTATTATTTATTTTTTTCTCAACAGAAGTTTGGGTGATAAGAAATCCAAGGACAAAAAGAAAACATTATTTTAATCCATCCTCGCTTCCAGCAAAATGGAATCACCTACAAAAATTGGACTGTACCATTCTCCCAACATTGTATATAATATTGAGGCAAGTCCTGTATGTACCACCAGATGATAAAGTTTTCTCACTAACTCCAGCGGGCCTAGGATGCATTTAAGTGGACATTATCGGCACGACTTCCAGAGGTCACTAGCTCTTGCACTGATCATAGTGACTTGTTCATCATAGAGTTGATCAGTATCTCTAGCCCTGCCATAGAGGCCAATTTTTTCAATAAAGGACCCAATATTTGTTTTCATAATTCATTCTAGTACTCATCGCAGAAGCCAATACCTCTTACACTCAACAGCAAGGCCAAATGGTTACAAGTTGGTCTTACCTATGCAAATGGGAATCCACAGGGGCTAGAGCGGTAAAACTTTGCCCTATTGAAGATCCATTGTGGACTTATTTAGGCTATTTATGTGTTCCAGTGAGAAAGACTGCATACAATGGCCATTAAAATGAGTAACTATAAAATATAAATATAAAATATGACAAGTATATTGGAGCTCTCAGGCTGAGAAAAAACATAAGTGGCATTCAATTTTTCTAAGCATTAATATTCTAGCTTAAACTAGTGAGTGTATTGATGCTTTCATGTGTTTGTACATTTGCATTCTTAAAATGGCAACATATGATATAATTGCTTACTACTGTATCTTCATTTGTTCGCTAAAGACGGGTCCATTTATAAATGGCCATTGTAAACATAGTGGTAAATGAAAATATGTGTCTGAATTGTTACATTTTTTGATATGTTTCTAAGAACATTGCAGAAATGTTTTTTTTTAGTGATTGTAATAAAATATTCTTAAGTTTTATTATTATTATGACACACATTAACATTTTTCTTTTTATTGATTGTAATAAAATATTCTTAAGTTTTATTATTATTGTTACACACATTTAAAAAAAATAGTTATTGGTATGTTTATTCAATAATTTTGGAAGTATTTTATATGGGGAATTAGTAATTCTTTATTTATCTTATGTAATCCATTTATACACATTATAGTAACGAAGTATACCAGAGAGTAAACATGCTTTCTAATGTTTTTCTTAATTTTGTTTTTTTATCAAGTAATGATTGCAAATATCTTTACACTGAGAACAACAAACAATAGCACAGCAGCATGGATATTTATACTTGCTTAATAAATGCAAGTTATATATAACAGTTAGGATGAGATGTAACAGCACATAAAACAATAACATTTCTTGATAAAAATTATGTAGTATAAATTAAGTCCCACTTTTTTTCTAGTTATTTTTATACCCGAAATATATTAAAATAATTAGTTGCTGAATATTTTTGTATGATTGTTACGTAAAATTATTTTCTGATTATGTTTTTCAACCCTCTATTTTTAATAATAATCATTTAGTAAAAAGTGTATAATTTACAAAATTATGTATAAAAAAAATCCATTTTAAATTCTTGTTTATTATTTTTCTCATTGTATTATATTGGAAGTTCAAGTGTTTTTCATAGACTGTCTGGTGCCAAGATCCAACATCTGTTTGAATACCCCTGCCGGTGTTCCCCAGCTAAAAAAAAATTTAGAAGTCTACCTCTATAGATAATATGCCTATCAATTAACTATCACTGAAGAAGGTTAATAAGCTACACGGCGATTGTGAATTATTATACTATTAACCTAGCATATATAATTCCTTAATTATATATTGAAGTGTTTAAAGTACTTATGATTATGACCCCTGACCAATATCTAAATTTTGAGAGGTAAGGTGAGGGGGGGGGGTGAAGTTGACAATACTCCTGCAAAAAATGGTTGCTCCCCAGGCATGCTCCTGCCACTGATAACTTACTGAGCAAAAGAGTAGTTAAAAATCAACTTGTTCACCCAGCTAACACCCTCTCAATTACCATTTGAATACACCCCACACCCCCACCCCTACTCTCCCCAACAGCCATGCAAAATTTACTTTTCAAAGCAGGGCTCCCAGAAGAAATGATTGGCTACATTACTGACAGGGGATCCAGGATTCCTTGATGGGGGTCTCCGGAATTACGAGTATAACAGGAAAAAAAGTTGGGTTTAATGCCCTTTTGTTCCTCCAAACAATCAGTTATATTCTATGAGTATTTAGATGTACTATAAAAAGTATATCGAATGAAGATGGTACTGTATATAAGCAATTTTTTTGTTCGTGATGAACAAAATAATATTGTGAAATAACTAAGAAATGTGGAAGTCCTTTCATAAGTGTGTGTGTGTGTGTGTCCATATATGTGTGTGTGTGTGTTTGAGGGACTGACATGATGTAATTGTATACAAGTTTTGAGGTTATCCAGCAATGTTTGTTGTTGGTACACAATAAAATAAAAAAAATTCAAAATAAAAATAATACATTCAAAAAGTCAGTTAATATATAAAAGATCAATAATAATGTAGATATTGTCACCTGATTTTATGCAAGTAAATTTTTGTTTTGTATGAATTTGAGTGCGAGATTAAAGTGTGGTATATCACCACATGGTACCTAGAACCCAAGCCTAATACACTACATAAAATGTAATAATGGACTAAAGAGGGCAGTGTATTTGTACAGTTTTTATTTTATTTATTTATTTTTTTTAAAGCATTGAAGTTGTGGAACTACTGGACAATGAAAGTTCAAAGTATGCAAAAATTGCAAACTTCCCATATTTCGAGTGTTTAATTTGATTATGTTATTCTTTTATGAAATATCAGGTACATTTATCCTCCAAATTTATTATCACTATGCTCGGCTTTGTATTATAAACTTTGCTTACTGATGATTTATGACTTATATTTTCACATTGCTTTCTTTGTAAGCTGACTGTAATTAAAACTGAGCTGTAGTCTCGTATGTTATGTAGATTAATATTCGCCATGTTGCTCATTAAATTAATATAGGATTAGAATGGAAACGTGATTTAATTGTGATGTTTGTTTTGTGAGTACAATTTAAAGATACTTGAAAAATAACCTACTGACTTGATGAGATCTTTAT